CAAAACTGAAAAATAAAACAGTGGTTTGATCTAGATACAGCAGCACTGCAATATTATCAGACATGTACAAGAATTCAAGCAGTCAGAAAACACAGAAGCCATAGATGTCGGTAACAACCTTAAAATAAAAATGGTTTTCATTCAACAATAAAAAACACCTCCCTGAATATTAAAACCAAATAAACAAAATTCTTTGGATATTAGAATTATTATCATGATTATTTTACAATATCAACAGCCACTAATTTTTCTATTTGAGAATATTTGTTTCCACTTATTATAAATGTATAATTTGTTAAGTTATGAAAAAATGTTATGAGAAGCAAAGTTTATTTTATTTAGCAGACTACAATATGACAAGTGCTTTAAAATATTTATTTCTGAATGTTTTTGTAATTGAACCCATGAAGTAGTGTGCAAATGTAATTTTTTTAAAAACTTTAGTGTTAAGTATATTACTAGTACATATCTCACTATTTTAATCAAGAGTCTGCTATGGTAGTCTATAACTGAATTCGTGAAAATACTTAAAACTCAGAAATACAACTCTGAACTAATATCCACTGTCTCTTTTTTTAGAGTAAAAAAAATAGTAACTAAGAATCCCCTTAGCATTGCAAATTATGGCACAAACAGAAATAAAAATCTCTAATAAATAAGCTTTGTTTTGGTCCTCAGCATATGGCACCTGTGTCACAAACATGAAGAATAATTGTTGCAATGTTCAGACATGGAATATCACCCTCTTTTAGATACATCTGAATGATGTAGTTTTGACGTTTTTATAAGATGTTCCATTCCAGCAAAGTCAAGCTGCATGTGAAATCAGGTTGTAAGCTGAGTCTGGTTTGTATGTGTAAAAGAGGAAGAGGAGGAGGAGGAGGAGGAGAACTCCACACCAAGCACCCAAGAATGTAAAAGTGTTGCTCTTCCAACATACCCCTATTTGGTAAAAAATAAAGAATCTGGGACTTATTTTTATTGTAGAATGTATGACATTCTTTGAATATATTGTGCTTCATCAGTGTCCCAGTGGGGAGGGAGAAGTATTCATAATATTGTTGAAATGGGAAGAAGAGCACGTTGGCTGCATCAAGAAGATCTGAAGTTCACCCCCAGCGTATTTACTTAAAAAAAGCCAAGTAGTAACTATGGTAGCAGTAAATAGGCAGACTATCAACTATCAAACATTTTTTCTGGTTTTATAAAAAGTAGATTTCCTTCCCTTCAAACAGATTATTTTTCCTATAGAGTGGCCAATCCAAGCATCATTTGAACATAGAGAAGGCGAGGAGGGATAATTCAGTGAGAGCTTATGGAATCAGTATAAATAAAGGCAGAAGGGTAAATCTTCTTTGTGTACTTATTGATCTTAATATTAATGAAGTCTGAGTTCCTATTGCTTATACTCTTGGTTACAATAGAAAGGGACTTGTGTAATGAAAATCTAGATTGTTAGATAGTATTAAAAAGAAATTATTGAAGTTCCCAAGTCAGATAATAAAAAGAAACACTGCCTAAAATAGCGACTGCCCAAATGATAGAATTGGCCTCACAGAATTTCATATTTTTGTTACTCCCTGTAACTTGACTACCAAGGGGGTATAAAATAAATAATTGCAGAATAATTGACTTCATTCATAGACAAATAAATAACTCAAAAAGTAGCCTATGTTCCATGATTCCTATAAATTAGGTGAGAATTCCATTTAGATGTATGAACATTTGTAATGAGAAAAAATGTTTGAACAATATGAGTTCCAGTTTGAGGGTCTTATAATGTCCTATACAAGATAAGCTGTGTTTTATTGCTGTAATGTAACTGTTATTATTGTTAATAAGTTGCACAAGAAAAGCACTGAAAGAAAATTCACAGCTTCTGGATGTCTTTTAAAAAAGACTTAGATAGGCCCCTCAGATAGAAGTTTAATCTTCTTTCTACCACTTAATTTTGCTCTTCTTTGTTGAGGCTGGCAGAATTGTGTTGAGCTTTTGCCTATTACTATCTGGAACTCCACTCCAATTAAATTGGCCTAGGAAAATAGGAGACCATTATCATAATAAAAAAGGAAATGCAGAAGGAAAGTGGAGTTGGAGGAGAAAAGAGACTGTGATGTGACCTGCATTTTGACAGAGGCAGATGAAAGGGCAGAAATAGCAGCGTTAATGGATGAAATACCTGCCTTCAGTGGATGACACCGTAAATATTCCTTACTGAGGAGGGTCGCTGTCTTTCTTTTTCATGGCTCATGCAAAATTAAAATTGCTTCTGCTGTATTGTATGGAAGGAAGATAAGCTGCTCTCAAGAATGTAGGGAGAAAAGTTTTATCTTTTACTATATAGAACCCAAAATTCTAAAACAAGTGTTGTCTTTTGTAGGTAGATTACCTAGATCTTCACTTCAGATTAATGCAGCCCATATTTTTAACTGACATCCATCTTTTGCATCAGTTAATAATATTTGTGCATCAGCCTAACAGAGAAATCTCGGGCTGACATTCCACTAAGAATTACTCAGAAAGTTACACATGCAAAACATAAGTATGGCATTGTACTTAGCCATTATCTTTTTTATTCAGAATGCATGATATACTAGAGAATTCATGCATGCATGTGTAAATACAAAGAGAAGCACACATTTATGTACACTTTCAAAAGCTGGAAATCCAGAGTTACTGAACAGCTGAATTTCCATGAACTGGTGTTGTGAAAATGAAGGATTTATGCCCTTGACTTGGGTTGCAATATATGCCTGATCTTTCTCTCTTTTCATCTGATTTAGATGAAATTTATAGTTTAGATCAGTGGCCCCCAATCTTTTTGTGCCAAGGACCAGTTCTGAGGGGAGGCATTTTTTCCACCGACTGGGTGTGGTTTCATGCACTGCCTGGATCTCACACATGGATGGAGCTTCACTTGCCTTCGTGGCCTGGTTCCTGGTGGTCCATGGAACAGTGGTGGTCCATGGCCCATGGGTTGAAGATCCCTGATTTAGATTATTGTTTACAGTTGACCACAATAATGATTATGGCAGAAGAATCAAATGTTTTTAATGTCTCAGATACAAATGCTTTTTAGTCTAAAGCTCAACCCTTTCTTTTTATGGACATGATCTTGGTTGTCATTGGTGGGAAATACTTTATATATGGATATAGAAGGCTGTGCTATATGTTGAAATACCTCTGAGGAAGAATCCAACATGTTTCATATCAACTACACATTTTTTTGAAAACTCTAGGTATATCCTGTAAAAATATCTTGAGACCAAAACCTTGGAAACAGGCTCCCATCTTTGAAATACTATCAACTGCAGAAAGCAAGCATATTACAATCCACAATTACATTTCATAAATATTTGTTTAACCATAGCCCATTTACTGGGGAAGGATCCATGTCTTTCTGATTTAAAAAACAGACTTTTCAAATGGATTCAAATATTATGTGAGATGAATCTCTTTCAAAATTATTGAGTATTCAAAATACTCAAAATTACTGAGCATTTGAAATTCTATCCTCTTCTACTAAGAAAGAAGAGACATTAAATCATCTCAAATCCCACTTATTAAAATTGATGTGGGATACTGCTAGTAGTATTCTGGATGTGGATGGTGAGCTTTTATGGGTATTTATGTAATCTCCATTTCTGCAGTTTAAAGTTCTTAAATTTTCCTTAAATTCATGTGATTAAAGGTAAAATTGATACTTCTTTCGATCATACTGCAAACTATTATTTAAAAAAGAGATTATGAATTATATCCAAACAAGGAATTGTCTCTTTCTTCCTTCTTCATAAATGAATGTCCAGAGTTTGACCCTCCTAATCAGGGAAAGAGAATCCATGCAATTTAGTCATACCTTAGAACCAGAAAGTGGCCAGGATGTTTGAAGAATCTCTAACTATTACATCTTTCACATTCCTGGTATCTCAAAAATTCTTGGAACAATGGAAAGTGGACAGATAAAAAAAATTACATACAGAAGTTCCCATTAAAAGCTCAACTTCCTGGTATTTAGCTCCCTTCATTGTTACCATATGGTAAATGGAAACTAGAGCACAAGAAGCTACATCCACAAGAGCAGGAGTATTGGGAAGCACCAGCTGGCATACAGACTACACCAATCGCACCAATTGCACTCTTGTTCTGGGATGCAGTGAATACACTAGCAAACAGATGTTGACTCAGGAATCAGATGGGCATTTCTGCAAATCCAATGTGCATTCAAGAGCCATTTCTCCATGAACTGTGCAAGCCCATTTAAAGGTGAAACCAAGAAATAACAAAATCTAGAACAATCTTATTGTCTCCATGAAAGGAGTTGCCAAGGTCAGACTTCACATGTCGAAACTGTGTGCTCACTTTTTTTTTTCTAGCAATAGTTATAGAATTTCAGCCCAGGGAAGAAAAAGTGATGTGAGATTTTAAACAAGATTTGATTTTTCAGCAACAAATATAAGAGCTACAAAAAAGTGCAAACAGCAACAATGGTCCCATGATGTTCCGAACTTCAGACATAGCCTTTTAGCCTCTCTAAAGAGAGCAAACTTTGTAGGTCTAAGTTGATTAGATACAAGGCTTTTAACAAAACAGAGGGGAGGGAAGACACTAGTCTGCAGTGTTGCCTTTAACCAAAAAACCGCAAAAGTGAAGTTCGTTATAAAAAAAGTATCAACTGAAGCAATAGGAAAAAGGAACTTATGTACACTTTTCTATATTTACAAAACAAAAAACAACCCCCCTCATTTTGAGATTGGAAGTATTGATCACTTTTTCTTTAAAAAAAAAACCACTAAAAAGTCTTAAAACACATGGCTTTACAAGCTGCTGCTCAGAAAATATACAACCCCAAGTTTGACTTTCATTTAAATACAAATGTACAAAATGTAAACTGAGACAATAGAGAAATTTACAAAACCTTTTCTTTAAAAATAATAAGGACAAAGTTCAGTTCTAATTAGGATGTAATTTTAAATACGTGCAAGTTGTCAGCTTCCAATTTCTATTGCAGTATCCTACAATGTTGAGTCATAAGACCTCAAGTTCCACCCCCCAAAACAGACCTGAGAGTAAATATCTTCATAAAATGGGAAGCTTCCCTAGAAGGAACAGACAGCAGGGAAAAACCTTCCGTGGTTAGAAACTGTTGATCTTCTAGCTCGATGGTAGGTGCTTTTCTCATCCTTGATGCTTGATACTCTATCAGTGGAAGAATGTAATATCCATAGGCCAGAAAAAGCTAACTGCTCCCAGTAGAGTTTGAACTGACGTGATTGGAGTTTATGTGATGATTTAAATTGGTCTTTGAGTTTGGAGAGCTCTTGGAATTGTTCTGATGCTGGAGAAATTTTTTTAAAAGGAAGAAAGATGTGAAAAGGTTAGCTTTTCCAAATAATTCTAGATGTATCTGCCCGCAATTTCCAGAAAATATAAATTTGCCTGTGTTGCTCTGGATTACACCTGTTTCTTTGATTGATATAAAGTGTGGCATAAAAAGGGGATATCACACACTTTTAACTGTATGTCCATTTACAAGAGTTTCTCATCCTCAACTTTCCTTAAGCCACTGGGTTCTAGGGAGATTTCTGTTTGGGCCAGGACCTATTGAGCAATTTTACTGTCTGGTAGAATGCAAAGCATCAGCCTCTAGCATCTTCTTTATATACAAGAATGCTTCTAAATCTCCTATATAGTAAACCTGAATAGCATTAATAGAATCTGCAAATGGTGGCCATTCACAAACCTGTGCTTGGCTTTCAAGTCTGCCTATTTGACCTAGCACTGTGGGGATAGACAAGTTTCTTAGTGTGTCTTAGTACCTGTATGTTTTATGACTAACCATGTTTGCCTTGTTAGCCATTTATGAATAGATAATGCCTTCTCCTTCCAAATGTTTTACAAACACATTGTTTGTATATTCCAAATATGCCTCTCAGTCCAAGTGGGATTCCTTTATACCATGCTCAGACAATCACTTTCATTGTTTGGTCAACAGTAATTATATATCAGGACCTAAGGCCTGAAGAAAAAATGGTGTTTTAGTTTCTGAATTCTCTTTCACCCCAAACTTGCCCCAGTTCACAATGAGTAGGTGCAAGCCAACATGATCTGAGGACACCAGCCTGGCAAAAGCTTGTTTTCATCCATCACTAGACTATAATGGCAAATGCCATATGCCATGACAAGATTTGGACACTTTGGAATGATAAAGACAATTGAGTATTTATTTAATAAATATATGCATTATGAATGGTTTAGAAACTCTCACCTGACGTTTAAATATTCGATGCAGCAAACCTTTCTTCGGTGGTTCTGGAGGATAGTTTTTGTTAAGGTCTGGTGAGATAGTACCATTTGGTCCAAATACGTTTAGTTCTTTAAAACATTCTGTTTCTATCATCTAACAAGACGAAAGAGAAAAATTATTTATTGGAACCACAATGAACCCAGGGAAAATTCTAGCCTTATTATATTGAATGCAACATTTATAAAAACTCAATAGAGTACACCCAGATAGGAGGCAGCTTGGCTGCTCATTGGAAGATAATCAGTTTTCAAGTTAGGGTAAGTACAGAGAGTCTGTAGACATGATCTTGCCAGACTGAGCACTCTGCATCTATAAAATATTCCATAAATGATTAGAAAGGGACTGTCTTTGCCCTCTTTTTCTCACATGTGACATTTGGACTGAATGGCCTCTTATGTCTCTGGAATGCATCACCTCCCTCCTGGGAATCCAACTCTACTACATTTCATCACATCAGGTGACTTTGGGTCAGTCATTCTCTCAACTTACTCATAGGAAAAAATAGGAGAAGGGAGCATTATGTGCCATGATCTAGGCCAGGGGTCTGCAATCTTAAACACTCAAAGAGCCACAAAGATCCTAACCAGAAGTTCCTGGTTCAATTCTGGAACCAATCAGAAGTCTGGTTCCCCCACCATAGAGTCTCCTCCTAGCAAGACATCCTTTTTCCTCTACCTGTCCTAACTGAAAGCCCTATTAATTGTGGAGCCAACCAGTGACAGGGAGCTGCAGCAGAGGGATGAAAGAGCCACATCCGGCTCCAGAGCTGTGGGTTGCTGACCCCTGATCTAGGCTCATGACTCAGATTCTGAATCTGAATCCAAAGAAGCTGCTCCACATGAACATGTATATGTCAGCTTGATTAGATACCAAACCCCGAATTACATGAGGCTGATCAAAAACAGGCATCACATAGACATTGGAGCAGCCAGATGAGCATGATATAAAGCAACATTCTATGAGGCTCCTTGTCAATTAAAGGAGTAAATCACTTGATTAGTAACAGCTAGCTACAGCTAGCTGTTTAAGAGACAACCCTGGCCCTTTGTTGGAAATAACAATTGGATTTATGGTTCTAGTGCAATGTTCCAATGAATCATGTTTGTGTAAGAAACCATCAACCTCTCACTTCTGGACTGGTTGACAATTCTGACCTTGGCTCTTGGAATCTGGACTGAAATTGGACTATTCTTCTGTGTTCTTCTAGAGAAAAGCTAATAAGTTGGGCAAGTGTTTGTGTGCTTTGCTATTATTACATTTTGACCTTGAGTATACTGAATTACTACTTGAACTGTGTGAATCAGTACTGAAATCAGAAGCAGGACATGATGTGAATTTGAGCTCCTGAACCACACATAAGATATAAATCTAACATAAATGATTAAAATGACATACAGTGTAACCAATGAATCCTTTTTAAAAAGCAGCTTAGAATGTCCTGCAACTTTCTCTAAATTTCTGACCCTCTTCTGTACTGTCTTATCATTCCAATCCAATTGTTATTTTCTTCAGCTTGCTCAATATGTTACAAACTTTCCATGTCCAGAATATCTCTTTACTAAGAGTAGCAAAAATGGTGAGTCTGCAACTGACTTGCACAGCATATTGGATGCAGCAAAACTAAACTAAACATTAGATAGTCTTAATCCTAATTAATTAACTCTTGCACATGAAAACAATAATATCTTTCATTACAGAAAGTTATTCTTAGCTTTTTATCATCAGGTAATTGTCTGCAAAAAGACCACGTTTGAAATTTTAGAATTGCACATTTTGAAAGAATCACGGTGTCTCTTTAATAAAACACAACTGGTGGTACATTTTTTTATTTTAAAATGCTGCAGAATACATCCACATTGAGTAAATAAGGTACTTAGAATTTCAAGTATATGCTTGACATTTATGAAATTCTGAAAGATTGATAGAAAAGTATTTATGGAAACATGAGTAATTACCTCATTTTGCCATGGGATAGATACAGAGCCTGTAGAAAACTTGGAATAAAAATCATCATCTGTTTGGTCCAGGTTCACTCCCTTGACAGTGGAAAACTGCTCAATGTCCAACACATCTTTGCAGTACACTGCTCTCGGCTGCGCCGGCACAAAAAGAAAGAGTCAGAGTAAGATAGCACCAACATGTGGTTGGTACTATTTCAGGTCATTCGGAACATTACTTGCTTTGGGCAAATAGAAATGCAAAAAAGTCCATGCCCATGGGTCAGATGAGTGGGTCGTCCAATGCAATCTATGTCCCCTAGACCTTTTGCCCTCCCTTGCATCCACTTGCTGTTCTTCGTCCCACCTTCATCAGTACTTGTATCCACTCACTCACTGCCTTCCTACTCTTGAACTGACCTTCTTCTAGTCCCTTTGTGCCCTTCCACCCTTCATGCATTCTATCTTTCCAAGACTATCCAATTCTTCTAAGCCTATCCAGATTCTCCAATCGATACACGCTACTTTTCCCAACGTTAACTTGATCCTTCTGAGTTTGTCTGCTTCTCCTCCCGCAGCATTTATACATCTAAATCCTTTTTTCTTGAAGGCTGCGGTTTCTTCAAAAGAAAAAAATGTAGCAGTTTTTTTCTTTTGGGAAAGAGAGCTATAACCCTGAGATTTTTTTTCCTACAACACAGGCTCCTCCACTGGTATTTTTCGTGTTTTCTTTTGGAACAGTCACTGCTGTTCCAAATAGGGCTATCAGATCTGCAAAACACAACCAGAAGAGGGCAGCAAAAAGATTTGAAATCTGTATCTAATTCTTTGCTGCCATCTTTTGGTGGCTTGTGTTTTTGAAACACTGATATGGTAGCTCTAAAGAAAAAGCATGAAGTGTTTGGAGGAGTAAGAGCAAGCCAAGATTTCCTTGAGAATGGTATACACTTGCATCTGAGGAAAGCAAGGAATAGAGGAAAGGGAAGTACAGTGCCAGAGAGATAATATGACAGGTGAATGAGTGAAACCATGCTGGGACTTTTGTGGCAGCAGCAGCTAAAGATAGACGGGGAGGGAACAAAGTAGGAAGAGGAGTGGAGACTGGGAAGCTAGCACTTAGGACATGCAAAGGTGAGAGGAAGATATGATACACCCCAGCCTTGGCTAATGATCCTGCATAATCTCTTCCACATCCCTCTGGATTCTGCTGTGCTTAAGATCAAAACAACCAAGATGTTTCAGCATTTGTTTCTGCTGAACTATGGCCAATCCATCCAAAACCCATTTATTAGAAGGCAAATATATCAGGTTGTTCTTTGATATTATCTACATCATACCACAGGATCCCCTCTCCCCTGTTTTTATGGGCTGTTGAATACACTCCAAGAAAAAGAAGGACTGGGCTGCAATGGCCATATAAAATAGAAATAGTTTTGGGGATATCTATGAAATCTATGGGCTTTTTTTGAAAATACAGATAATCCTGAATCTGATGCTTTGTTTTGCACTATGCTAGCTTCGTTTTAAATTGAAACAATATTTAATTTTTGCTTTAAAACAGAGTCGGGTATGGAGCTTGACTAATATCAGCTGAGATATCTGAACATTGGAGACCTCACTGTTAATGGCTAACAAGTAGTAATTTAACAACTGACATAACTCTTTGAAAGCACGCCATAGATGAGGGCAGAAAACAACTGAAGAGAACAGGATGTGTAAGGCTGCCTATAGGGGCTTCATCCAAAACACTGTTATGAAATTTCAATCAGCGATAGAGTCAAAATGATTAGATCCAGATATCCAAAGTCAAGATACAACCCCAACTCAAGGAAGATATATCTCAACCATTGTTAAGTACAGATTCAACAGCTTCTCATGGACGATAGACCTCAACTGTTAAAAATACAGATTCAAGCAGTAGGTCATGTATATTCTCAAGTTCTAATTCAGCCCTGTAGTTCCCTTTTGAGCCTCACTTACATCAGGGACGAAAGGAGGCTCCAGCATTCCAGCTTGGAGACGTTTGAAATTCATGCTCTTGAAAAATGGGTGGCTCTTTACTTCAGCTATGCCGTCCTGACATCCCAGCCTCTGTTTCACATCTTTGCTCAGTAGCTGAAAAGATGGCAAGACAACGATCAGAAAATATTTGTTGAATCCTATTGCATGTAGAGAAACCCAAACATTCTCCTCTATATCTTAATGGGAGTAGTACTTATAAAAAAATCATTTGCCATTCGTACTTTACTATTTAATTAAAAAAAGGCTAAATATGTGATAGTCCAACGATTAATAAGAGGTATCTCATGTTTGGAATGTAGGCATTGTTATCATTGGCATTTTGCCCATGAAATAAAAGTATTAAGGTTGACTCAGCTTTCCATCCTTCTGAGGTCGATAACATGAGGACCCAGATTGTTGGGGGACATATGCTGACTCTGTAAACCGCTTAGAGAGGACTGTAAAGCACTGTAAAGTGCTTATAAGGTGGTATGTAAGTCTAAGTACTATTAAGTAACACAATATATAGCATAAAAAAAGTAAGTGAAAGGTGAAAATAGTGCTCCTTTTGGAATTGGCAAGCTGTAGCAAATCGCTTTGTGGGTCATCTTGTAATGAGGCCACTCCTGGAGAGTCCTGTTGATGAGATCCTTGTGGTTTCTGATTAGATATTATGCAGACAATAATTATACTAAGCTGCATTCTCTAATTAGAGTTATTGTTAAGCGATGTGTGATGGCATTGCAATTCATAATTAATTAATTTGATATTACTGTTTATTCTAGTGTACTTTATTTCTTATAGGATTTTTTCCTGGTACTTCTCTTTTAAAAAATGCAATAACATTTAAAAAAACCTTTTCAGTATAATATTGAAAGCAGTGTTACAATGTCAGGTCACAGACCCTGTCCTTTTGGAGCAGGTATACAATGAACATATAGAAAAGATGTGTCCTTGTATCACAATATTGTGTTGATGCTTTCTTCAGTTTGACCCCCATCCCACCCACAACTCCCAGTAGACACTAATGGCTGACAATATTATCTTGTCTGGCCTTGAATATCGATTCATGCTGTAACATAAACTATAATATCCTTGCCTAAGTGTTGAACCATTCACAAAGCATTCTGCTAATTTTCATCTATTATTTCCATAATATACTGCTTTTATCACAGTTGGCAACTTTCTATATTTGCAAATAGTTCCACAATGCAAGCCTTTCCATTTTATCATACCGGACTTACTTTCTCACATTCTTACATTTCAAAGTGACTTTCAGAAAAGCAGTACACACTAGGCACTTTTATTTATTTATTTTTATTTGTCAATTGTTTACAAGACAATAGGTATAAGTAAAAACATAGTTATGACTACATGGATACATACAAGAAAAATAAAAAATATATATAAAAGAAATAATAGGACAGGGACGGTAAGCACGTTGTTGTGCTTATGCATGCCCCCTACAGATCTCTTAGGAAAGGGGTGACATCAATAGTAGAAAGTCTAAGGTTAAAGTTTTTGGGGTTTGGGGAAAAAAACCACAGAGTCAGGTAGAGCATTCCAGACATTGACCACTCTGTTGCTGAAGTCGTATTTCCTGCAATCAAGTTTGGTGCGATTAACTTTTTATCTATTGTTTGCTCTTGTATTGTTATCGTTGAAGCTGAAGTATTCATTGACAGGTAGGACATTGCAATGTATGATTTTAGATCGGACCGAAGGCGGCGTAGTTCTAAGTTTTCTAGGTCTAGAATTTCGAGTCTGGTGGCATAGGGTATTTTGCAATGAGTAGAGGAGTGGAGAACTCTTCCTGTGAAATATTTCTGGACTTTCTCAACTGTGTTAATATCAGATACGTAATGTGGGTTCCAGACTGATGAGCTGTATTCGAGTATTGGTCTAGCAAATGTTTTGTATGCTGTAGTTAGTAGTGTAATATTACCAGAGAAAAAGCTACATAAGATTAGGTTAACAACTCTTAATGCCTTTTTGGCTATGTAGTTACAGTGGGCTCTAGCACTTAGATCATTAGAGATGAGTATTCCAAGGTCCTTTACAGAACTTGGATCATCAACAAGGTCTTGACTATTCAGCTTGTATTTTATTTTCTGATTTTTTTTGCCAATATGTAAGACAGAGCATTTATTTGTTGAGATTTGAAGTTGCCATTTGTTTGACCATTCTGATACATAGTCAAGATTTTTTTGAAGGGTAGCAGTATTGTCTGTGGTATTGAACACCTTTACATCATCAGCGAAGAGAACGCAGTTGCTCTTAATATGATCACAGAGGTCATTTATGTAGAGTATGAAGAGAGTTGGTCCTAAAACACTGCCTTGGGGGACACCACTGTTGACAGGTACAGAATTTGATAGGACGCTCCCAATTTTGACCATTTGTTGTCTGTTTGACAGGAATGCTTCTATCCAGTTATGCAGGTGTCCAAAGATACCGTAAGATTTTAGTTTTAGGAATAGTTTGTTGTGTACCACTGAATCAAAGGCTTTACAGAAGTCTATGTAGATTGCGTCTATTGCTTTGCCCTGATCGAGTTGTGTAGTCCATAGGTTTTTGCAGTGTAAGAGTTGCAGATTACATGATAGTTTTTTCCTAAAACCAATTTTTTTACTAGAGAGTAGGTTGCTTGTTTCTAAGTGGAGGATGATGGATTGGTTAATAATTGATTCCATGACTCTACAGGTGACGCAGCATAAAGAGATTGGTCTGTAATTTTCAACTAGGCTGGGTTCTCCCTTTTTGAAGATGGGGATGACCGTGGCTTGTGACCATAGTTTTGGCAAGGAGCTGGTCCTGAAAGATTTTTCAAAGATTATGCTTAGAGGGTCAGCTATGGCAGTGGGTAGCTTTTTTAAGAAGAAGGCACATATTCCGTCCGGTCCAATAGATAGAGATGGTTTTAGATTGCACAGTGCTTTTTCAACAATGTCTTCTGTTAAATCGATATGTATTAGATTATTGTAATTGTCTGTGGTTCGACGAGGAAATACTGGGCATGATCCATTGCTGTTTACAAATACTGAGCCAAAGAATGTGTTAAAGAGGTTGGCTTTAATAGTGTCGTTGTTGCAGTCTTTACCATTAGGCCCTTTCAGGGGTGGGATGGATCTTGAGTCTTTTAGTTTGTTGTTTATAAAATTGTAGAAAGTGCGGGTGGAATTGGTGCGTAGAAGGTTTTCCTCTTGTTTAATATGATAATTGGTGCATTCAGTCTTTATCTGGTGGCATAAATTTTTGTATCGGCTTTTGAAGTTGGCAACATGACCCGATTTGTTTTTCTGCCAAAGTGATTTCTTTTTGGATTGAAGCTTCCTTATTGTTTTGGGTAATTTGTTTTTTCTGGTTTTAGGAGTTGTTAATGGTACATATAGTTTGATGACTCTTTTGACTTCAAGTAAAAATATGTTGTAATGGTCTTCTACAGTATTGCATCCAGAGAATAGAAATTGCCAATCAAGGGATGAGAGATCGTTGTTTATAAGATCATAGTTGCCTTTTTTGAAGTTATAATTGGGGATTCCATCGTTGTGATGATTTTTGTGTGGATGTATGTTGAGACAAAAGTCAATCATGTTGTGGTCACTGTTGGAAAAGGGTTCTTTAATTTGTATTCCATAAATTGAATTCAAACTATTGCAGAAGATGAGATCGAGGCAGTTGTTTAGTCTAGTGTTGTTGGTTACTAGTTGTTCTAGTTCCAGATTTGTTACTGCATTGTAGAAGGTTGCATGAGTGGGTTCAGTTGTACATTCGTTAAGGGTCCAGTTAATATGAGGTAGATTGAAGTCACCAAGAAAGATAAAAGCATGTGGGCAGGATGATGCCCATGTTAGTAGTATATTTAGCTTGTTTGCATGTTCGATGTCATAATCAGGGGCTCTGTAACATAGAAGAACTGAAATGTGATATTTAAGGACAGTTCACAGACGATGGTCTCAGGAATAGCAAGCTCCTGGGTTACTTGGATGTTTTTTAGATGTAGGGACTTTTTATAGAAGATAGCAACACCACCTCTTCTATGGATTTCACGATCTGATCAGTAAACATGATAGTCTCTTACTGTGCTAATGGAATCAGGGAGAGATGTGTTGAGCCATGTTTCACAGAAAAATATAATGTCAAATCTAGCTGTATTTAGTAAGAGGAGAAATTCAGGTATTTTATTTACAAGGCTTCTTGCATTGAGTAGCTTGCATTTAAGGCCAGTTGTGATTGGAATAGAGGTAGTTGGGGCGTGCATCCCTAGTTTTAAGTGATGTTGAATTGGATGGGGTGGGGTTGGATGCAGAGTTGTGGGTTGTGTGACTTTCTTTTGATGCAATCAGCTCATTAGTCAATGTACAGGTCCTTTTCTCCATTGTCTAGATGGTTTTTGAGTTCTGCGTGGAGTTCACGGGAGCGGATTCTTTGCAGTATGGATAAGTCTGGTCTTCAGCGAAGTTTTTTTGTTGGGATTTTTTGTTGGGATTGGTTTTTGCAATGGCATTTATTGTATGTATGAATATGCATTTGCTGGACTCATTTTTGCATGCAACTCTACAACATTTTGAGGCCACAGAGCCATCATTGTATTTGTACCCATGGCCATCTCTGGTTATTTCAACGATATCTTCAGGAGAGATGTTTGTTGTATTAGAGTTGCTTATGATATCACAAACTTTGGTGATGTCGTCTGATTCGTTGGTGTCTTGAGACCAAATAAGATGGCATTTGGATTTTCTGTTCACGTTCCATGGTGTCTCTGATGAGTAAAGAGATATTATTTGTGGAATTATTTGAAGGGATAGTAATTGTTTGTGGCTGTGGTTTGGTGGTTATTTTTGGTTGTAGTTGTGATTGTAGTTGAGGTAGTGGTTGTGGTTGTTGTGGGAGTTGATTTTGAGATGATAGGTACTCACTTATCTGTGCTGTATTTTTTTTCCCAAGAGAAATTAGGCTTACTTGTATAGTTGTTTCAAAACGTGTTGCTAAGCGTTCTTCTATTGAGTAAATGAGTGATTCTATGCTTTCAACTGTGTCAGGTAGGGTACTCAGTTTGTTTAGTTTAGGAGAACATGATGGACATAGAAAAAAGAATGTATCTGAATTTTTAA